AGAACAAAAAGTCTTAAAATTTGTACGGAGACACAAAAGACCCCGAATAGCCAAAGCAGTCATGAGGGAAAAAAACGGAGCTGGAGGAATCGGGCTCCCTGACTTCAGACTATACTACAAAGCTACAGTAATCAACACAATATGGTACTGGCACAAAAACAGAAATATAGATCAATGGAACAGGATAGAAAGCCCAGAGGTAAACCCACATGGTCAACTAATCTATGACAAAGGAGGTAAGGATATACAGTGGAGAAAAGACAATCTCTTCAATTATTGGTGCTGGGAAAACTGGACAGCTACATGTGAAAGAATGAAGTTAGAACACTCCCTAACACCACACACAAAAATGGATTACAGACCTAAATGTAAGACTGGACACTATAAACCTCTTAGAGGAAAACATAGGAAGAACACCCTTCAACATAAATCTCAGCAAGATCTTTTTTGATCCACCTCCTAGAGCAGTGGAAATAAAAACAAAAATAAACAAATGGGACCTAATGAAACAAAAGCTTTTGCCAAGCAAAGGAAACTACAAACAAAACGAAAAGACAACCCTCAGAATGGGAGAAAATATTTGCAAACAAATCAACAGACGAAGGATTAATCTCCAAAATACATAAACAGCTGATGCAGTTCAATATTAAAAAAACAAACAACCCAATCCAAAAATGGGCAGAAGACCTAAATAGACATGTCTCCAAAGAAGACATACAGATGGCCAAGAAGCACATGAAAAGCTGCTCAACATCACTAATTATTAGAGAAATGCAAATCAAAACTACAATGCGGTATCACCTCACACCAGTTAGAATGGGCATCATCAGAAAATTTACAAACAACAAATGCTGGAGAGGGTGTGGAGAAAAGGGAACCCTCTTGCACTGTTGGTGGGAATGTAAATTGATATAGCCACTATGGAGAACAGTATGGAGGTTCCTTAAAAACTAAAAATAGAATTACCGTATGACCCAGCAATCCCACTACTGGGCATATACCCAGAGAAAACTATAATTCAAAAAGACACATGCACCCCAATGTTCACTGCAGCACTATTTACAACAGCCAGGTCATGGAAGCAACCTAAATGCCCATCGACAGATGAATGGATAAAGAAGATGTGGTACATATATACAATGGAATATTACTCAGCCATAAAAAGGAACGAAATTGGGTCATTTGTAGAGACAAGGATGGATCTAGAGACTGTCATACAGAGTGAAGTCAGTCAGAAAGAGAAAAACAAATATCGTATATTAATGCATATATGTGGAACCCAGAAAAATAGTACAGATGAACCAGTTTGCAGGGCAGAAATAGAAACACAGATGTAGAGAACAAACGTATGGACACCAACGGGGGAAGTGGCCGGGTGGTGGTGGTGGTGGTGTGATGAATTGGGAGATTGGGATTGACATGCATACACTAAAATGTATAAAATGGATAACTAATAAGAACCTGCTGTATAAAAAAATAAAAATCAGAAAAAAGAAGTACAATTGATATAATAGCAAAAAAAAAAAAAAGAAATTATGTTCTCTCCTACTGTAAGGTCACTGAACGTGCTATTTCCATTGCTCAACAGTGCTCTCTAAATACATTTTATCCTTCAAGCCTCAGTTCAAAGTTCATTTTCTCATGGAAACCTTTCCTGACCCAGTGACTAGGTCTCTTTCATATCATATTACTTTCCTACAGCAATTAACACAACTGTAATTTTATGTGTTGTCCATGGATTAACGACTGCCTTCTACTCTTGCCTTTAACATCTATGAGAGTACTGAACGGAATTCCCAGCACCAAGCAAAGCACCTTCACACAGTCGGTGCACAAATATTTGTTAAATATACAAATGTTGTCTAAGTAACTCACATGATCTCTCTTCCCAATTTCTCAGATTTCTTCAATTCAGCATTTTACTAATCTTGATCAGTATCAACACCCAAATCAGACTTAGGTCTTTATTTTCTTGCCTCCATACCATGAAAGCAAAGGCTAAGTTGGTATAAATTTCAATTAAACTCTGTTCTTCTAGTAGTTGCTTCATTTACCTCTTAAAACTCCATTTAGAAATTGGTTGTCCTAAAATTATAGCAGTGGATTCTTAAATTAACAAAAACTGGAAAATTCTGCTGTATTCTGCTTATGTTTTGATAACTTTAACCTACTATTCTTAGTAAATCAACTGTCAAATTGTCAAATGTTCAAATAAGTGTTAACCATAAAGAGCTGTAGATAGTAATCTCTTTAAACTCCAACAACTGATAAAATGCTGTAAATCTGATGACATGTTAATTCACACATATGGGAGGAAAAAAGCATGCATACAAACATGCCAAACAGTACCTGTCAGAATACATTTACACAAAAAAAATCACAAGAAAGGAAAATGTGACGAGGGAACTTTATTTTAAGCTCTGATTAGAGAACTTCCTTTTTTATGTTTAATACTTAAACGTCCAAATAAGCAGTACAAATTTTTTCCCCAAATATGCAATCAATGTCATCAAACTTATCTAATTCAATTGCTCAATCAACAGATGTAATAAACCAAACACTCAGGTACATAAAGTAAGTCTGTGCTTCTCTGTAGGCTTCCAGAGGAGCCACATTTGTCTTGTTCACCAAGGTATCTTTAGCCCTTGGCACAATGAGGATTTACTGAGAAAATACATCAACACAAAATAGGAAAGTTTGTTTTAAGGTATTTTGCATGCTTGATCTCTCTCCCTTCAACTCCATTTATGTGTTGTGTTATTTTTTTCTATTAGCAATTACAAAAGTGCCACAATTAACAGATGATATATTGAGCTAAAGTTAAAGAGTACTCATAATAAACATAGAATAATAAGGGACAACAGCAACAGAAAGGAAGGTAAAAATTGTTTTCTCCTTTGTTAACATTGGTAATTAATGAAAAGTTGCATTTTATAGCACTCTGATTTCAAATGGAATTAAAAGAATTTTCACATATTTACCCTCAATTGTCTTCGCTTCCTCTCCTTTCCCAAACAAACTTGCAAATAAATGCCCAAGAAACTCTACCAAAATCAGAAACCAAATATTCACTTTCCTATATACACATTAATCTCTGGGGGAAAAAGTAACAAACAAGCTAAATTTACCTGCAATGGGTATGGCATAGGGCATATTAATAGTTATTTCCCATCTACAGATTAAAAAAAAAAGGGAAGGATTTTTGTATGTAACATGCTCAGGATGACTGCAAAAGAAAATACTTAACAGACTTTTGTAATTCTCTACTTAAAGAAAAAAAAGGAAAGGAAACAAAAATTAAGTATCAAAAGTTTAACTCAAGTACTTAGACTTTTTTAAAAGTTTAATTTGAAGGACTAAATGCCCTTCCCCCTACATTTGTTTACACATTTTCAAAACTTTATAAGGTACATTTGTTAAATTATTGTGACAAGTATTCCAATACAAGCAACTGTAAAAGAAGAGTACTTTGGAAAAGCCCAAGTGAAACCAAGACATACAAAATAGAAAAATTACATAACTTGGAAAATGCAGTCTTTTTTTTAACTACTTAAATCCAAAAGTATCACACTTAATCCTTAACAATATTTATAAGTTAGTAAGACGACTGCCACTTTCTAATAGAAAAAAATAAATATGGAGAAAAAAGTCAGAATAATCAAGCCATAACTCCCCCTTACAGTATCATATATGAAAGATGATATGATATATGCCAAGCACACAGTAAACATTACAGAGAGCTTTTTTTTAATCAGAAGGAAGTTGCAAGGTTTTTAGTTTTCACTCCAAAAATACTTACCATCTTATTTTCTGACTCTCTTTAAACAGCACTTAAATTGATTTAATATTAAAGATTTGATTAGTCTTTAAAGATTAAGCAAAAAAACTAGTTGGATAAGTAGAAAATCTAAACTTTAGTACACATATTAATACATGAAGTTTGAAAAAGCTGATTTTAAATGCATTATGGACCACACCAATGTTCCAAAGTATCAGGACTCTGAAGAGTTATTAATCCAACCATCCTATTCTGAAAAAACGTCACCCTTTGAGATACGGGATTCTAATTTCCACAACTTTACAATTTTGGTTTTTATTTGTTTTTAATCTGAGCCTTTCAAACCTTCCCCAACACCACTCACCTTATCACATGCATTACTGCTCTGCTTCTAATACTTAACTAGGTAACAACAAAGTCACTTACAGAACACTGTCGAAAAATGCCGGGTTTTGGGGGTAAAGGGGTTTTTTTTTTTTTCTATTTCTCTGAATGCCCAAGAGATTTAAAAGGCAGAACTCACGGGAGTAAGGGGAATGGGGGAGAAGATGCAGCTGTCTGGGAGCGAAAGGTTGGCAGAAGAGCAACGTGCTCCTTTACAAAAACACTTTAGAAATTGCAAACGGAGAATCAGCCTCCCCATTCAAGCTTATCAGCTGTCAGACTCCCTACACTCTCACCCAACAGTCACCCCGGCGGATCCTGGAGAAAAAGGCGTCTGTCCCTCGCGGGTCTCCTTCAACGACCCGAGGTGACCTTCGCCTAGCGGGGCAGCGAGGCCGCCTGGCGTACCCCGCGAAAGCCGAGAGGAAGTTAACCGGGAAACAAACGCTGGAGCTCCTCCGCCGACCCTGCGCCGACTCACGCCCACCTCCGCAGGCAGCCGGGTGGCCATGACGTGACGCCGCCGACCCGTCCTCCGTACTGACAAGTGTCCCCGCGTCTTCGCCTTTCAGTATTTAACCTTCTCGTGCCCTCCTTCCCCATTCCCTCCATTATAGGAACTAAAAAAGAAGTGAGCGGTTGTGTCTGGAGGCAAAGGAGGCGGCCTGGCCAGCCCCGGGAAGAGCCCCGGAGAAGGTAGGCAGCGGAAGGCTGCTCGCACCGTTCTTCCGGGACACGGAAGGTTCAGCTCTCTAGGCCGCGAAGCCGCGGCCTCGCGTAGTGAGAGGCGCCGAGCGAAGGCGCGGCGGGGCGGCGGGGCGCCGGCGCACATACTCACCAAATCTGGAACTTGAGCAGCGGCCCCGTGGCGTACTGCATCTTTAATCTCTTGCCAGGCACGCCACCCAGGTTGGCCGAGGCATCGCTCCCGACCACCGCTGACGCCGCCACCAGGAGAAGTAGCAGAAACCTCATCTTAAACGAGCAAACCACTTCAGCCGCCCTCAGACTCAGACTGCAGCCGGCCCAAGGTAGAGCCGGAGCCGCGAGCTGCTCCCCACCGCGCAGGCGCGATCCGCCAAGGTCGTGAGGGAAGCTGGAATGCGCCTGCGTATCCCGGCGCCTGCGCACGCTCTGGGAGGGAGAGCTGACCTGTTTCACGGTCCTGACCCACCATCTTGGATGCGCGCTGAGACTCTTGGGATGGAGTGAGATAGGTAGAGAACAAACAGCAGCTGATGGGATATTAGAGGAGCCTGCTAATTAAAGCTTCTGGCACACCTGTGTTCTACATACAATTTCATGTAGTTCAGACTTTTATCTCCCCGAGACACTTAGGAACACCTGTTTAACAGCCTTGATTCAGGTGTGGGAGATAAAACAGAAAGCCCCCGCCTTCCAAACCGGAATGCTTCACTCTTTCTGGGTGCATGCTATGGCCTTTTCTTTGAACATGGAATATTGCGCTCTCCTAAAGGAGTCTTTTTTTAAAAGACCGTTGGAAAACTTCAACATATACAAGAACAGAGTAATTACCTAACTCATTAACGACCTTTAACAATGACTGGTATTTTGGCAATCTTAATTGTCTATAGTACAGCTCTAACCATTTCTCCCCCAAGGAAGCAAATACCAGACATATCACTTCATCTATGGATTTTTAAGCATGTATCTCTAAAACATAACTTTTCTTTGGGGAGAAGAAAACTGACCACAATACCATTATCCCACCTTGAAAAATAAATTATTGCTTAATACCAAAATATCCAGTGTTCAAATTTCTCCTGTCTTAATGAATATTTATTTATTTTTATTGTTAAGTTGTTCAAATTGTTATGGAACCAAACTTGGGTCTGCTCACCTGTGGGCAGTAAACCAATTTACTGACACTGGGCTGTAGTGAAGGAAAATGCAGCATTTACTGTAAAGGTGCCAATACAAGGAGGATGGGTGGCTTGTGCTCTAAAACCCTGAAACCCTTGGTGGTTTTGCCTATAAAAGTCTTTACAGGCAAAATTTGGGGTGAGGGATGCAGTGTGTGCAGCTTCCTTCTGGTTGGTTGGTGGTGAGGTGCTCAGCTTGAAGTTACCATCCTCCACCAGGGTAGGGGCCTTAGTTCCTGCAGAAGAACTCAAAGATATTGTTATGTATATTCCCCAGGGCTGCACTATTGTTTCTTGACTGCTCCTCCCTTGTTTCTGTCCCTTGCCTGATTAGCAACTGTTTGAATCTGCCCTTTGGAACTCAGGGAAGGTCAAGGAGGCTGAATGAAGCCTGTTTCCTACAAACAAGAAACCAGAGACACAGAAAGGATTTGTACCCAGGAGAGCCCCACAGGGGCCCCACAGTTCCATTTCAAAATCAGGACCAAAATAAAAAGTAATCCTTTGCCATTGGTTGATATGTCTTTTAGATCCCATCAAACAAAGCCTTTCAGGTCAAGATTACACCAGGAATTGAAAAAGTTTCATGTATTATTCATTGCAGCAAAGGGAACACATACCACAGGGAATCAAGGAGAGTCTCAGTAAGAGGGTGTTAGGAAGATTATTATAGCATCTGGGCTTTGGATGATTTGGGAAGAGTATTGGGAGTGCCAATGGAAAATTTGGTCATCTTTTTAAACTAAAGCCTCAGAATGAATAAACATCAATCATTTTGGATTATTTAGCCCAGGTGTTGCAGTTATGAAATACATCAGGTATGAATTCAAGAAATAGTTGAATAGGAAGTTCTCAATAAATGTGTATGCCCATAGTTTCTCATATCCAATAGTTTGAATGAAGCACATAATCAAAAATTGTTTCCTAATTTAAGGATGCAGTGAAAGTCTGAAAACATTTCACAATAGTTGATTTCAACTCAAAGTGACTAAAACAAGTCTTATGAGATAGGAAGGGGGCAGGGCACAACCTTTAAAAGAATGACATAGCTGTTGAGGACATGACATAATCTGGTTAGAACCAACTAGGTCCAAGATCGTGGAGTAGACTTCCACTAGACCTTGAGCCTCAGTATATGCTCATTGTAATACATCAGCAAGCTAAATGCACAGCCACAGGTTCCATGACAGTTCTGAGGCAGACCATAAAAGGCCAAAAGTGGGCGGTAGCCCAATTCCTGGAAATCTCTGCCCCTTCCCCAAAATAGTTGGAATAATCCTCCCACTCATTAGCCTATGAATTACCCACCCCTATGAAAATTGACAACCGCGTACCCTGGGGCCTCTCTTGCCTTCTGAGATGGCCTACACTCTTGAGTGTGTATCTCCCTAATAAACCTTCTTTCCCTTTACTATGGCTTCGCAGAGCCAAGAACCCACACTTGGTGGCCGTTCCAGGGACTCACCTGAGACCTGGGATTCAACCATCCTCTCGTGCCCCACCTTTTTTTCCTGTAATATCAGGACAAAAGGAACTGAAAAACCAAAATCTTAAAATGTTTTCAGTAATCACATTGATGACAATACTATTTTTTTAACTAATTAATTTATTTCATATATTATTATTTTGGCTGTGTTGGGTCTTCGTTGCTGTGCATGGGCTTTCTCTAGTTGCAACAAGCGGGGGCTACTCTTCATTGCGGTGCACGGGCTTCTCATTGTGGTGGCTTCTCTTGTTGTGGAGCATGGGCCCTAGGCATGTGGACTTCAGTAGTTGTGGCATGCAGGCTCAGTAGTTGTGGCTTGTCGGCTCTAGAGCGCAAGCTCAGTAGTTGTGGTGCACGGGCTTAGTTGCTCTGTGGCATGTGGGATCTTCCTGAACCAGGGATCGAACCCGTGTCCCCTGCATTGGCAGGCAGATTCTTAACCACTGTGCCACCAGAGAAGTCCGATGGTGATACTATTTTGTTTGTATTATTGTTTGAAACCCAGTCCCCCTAAAAAACTGCGTTCTCCTATCAAATTTATGATTAACCTCTCTATCCAAAACTATTGCCTTTCTTGTTCTGCTCCTGTTCCCTGAGAACTGAGGAGTATCAAAGAAAAGGGGGGATTGAAACTTAGCAGGACTCTGTGTGGCCTTCCCAGGTACAAAAATCCCTCTGTGTCCCCTATTTCTTGTTTGTAGGAGAAAGGCTTTAGTCTCCTAGGCCTTCCCCAAGTTCCAAAAAGCAGACTAATTAGAGAAGTGAGGGAATGCAGAAACAAAGGAAATCAGTCAACCAAGAAAAGTAATAATATTGAATAGCTTAAACAATAGAGTTACAGGACTCCTAGTTCCCCCTGAAGGGATATACATAACAACCTGATACCTTTGTGTTGTTCTGCAGGAACTAAGACCCCTTCCACCCAGCTGGAGGATGGTGACTACATGCTGACCACAAGTACATTGACCCAGACTGGTTGGAACCAGAAGGTTGATGATTAAGATTCCCAAAATATCATCCTGATCACCAACCAACCAGAAGAAAGTCCACAAGCTGATAACACACCCTGCAACCCTCACCCCTAAGGCTGCCTTTAGAAACCTTTCCCTGAAAGCCATCAGGGAGTTCAAGTCTTTTGAGCATTAGCTGCCCATTCTCCTTGCTTGGCACCCTGCAATAAACTCTGTACTTTCCTTCACCACAACCCCATGTCAGTGGATTGTCTTTGCTGCACATGGGGCAAGTGAACTCCAATTTGGTTTAGTAACATATTCTAAGACTGTTGCATGTAATGTGGGATAAAGCAAATGAGTGATTATACTGGTGTCAATGGGAATCAAACTTTTGGAGGAGGAGAAAGGAAACAGATTTAAGTTAATGTATTAAAAAATACATCATAAGGAAGTATTTTTCTCAATTAAATAAACAATTAGAGGTTGTTTGGCCTGAGGCAACCCAGCACTGGAGCCTGCCCGGCTCTTTGGTGGGGCTGGTGGCAGACTCTGGGAGGGCTCCGGGGAGTGCTTCCCAGGACTAATGCTGCTGGTGTCCTTGTCCCCACAGTGAGACATGGCTACCCCCCGCCTCTGCAGGAGACCCTCCAATATTAGCAGAAAAGAAGAAGAAAAGCTCATCCAAGAAAAAGGTTTCTGTTTATTTAGAAGACACAGACTAACATTATTATGTGGAAGCTGAAGATTTCCAGGAACAAGAACCCTGAGATAAGTTGGAGTTAATGAAAGCTTTTCTTTGGCTTTTGCAGTTGTGACCTGTCTTCCAACCAGCTCTGCAGTATATAACCACCTAGACAAGCAACATTCCTCTGGAGCCAGCATAGGGCCCTTCTTGAGCAGATACCACCAGACTCACACACAGCCCTGTTACTAAGGTTTTATTTAATTTCAGAGTACGAATATTGTATTTTTTTCAAATGCTTATTAGTTTTTATATACTAGGAAGCTATATTTTTGCCCTTAAACACTCCTTGTGGATTATGACTTGTATACACATATATTGGCATCAAATGAGATAAAAGTCAACTTGTCTGTCATAACATTTCCCTTAATATATTAGTTTCCTTAGAGCAGCATTCTTGCTACTAAAGTTAACATGTTTATTCTTTCTTTCTCACACTCTCAGTTAAAAGGTGAGCTAATTCTCCCAACTGTTTTTGATTGATTAACAGAAAATCCTAAATTCAAACTGTTAAAGAACAGTTTGATTTTTGTGGCTCTCCTCAAGTATGTGACACATCTTATTTTATTGAATTTCTGTCAATACCCTAGATGGCAGGTTTTTGTTTTTGTTTGTTTTTGGTCAATTGATCCAAGGTTTACAGTAGTACAAGTCTAAACCACAGAGCAACTAGGGAAGGTTACATAAATGCTAATAGATTGACAAATGCCACCTCAAGATGAATTGCTTGTCACCTTTTCTCTGTGCTGTGACAAGCAATCAACAGCTCAGATATTTCACAAGCAGTGAATGACTGTTTAGCTTACTATAGTTTTTCCCCCAATTCAGTTATTTATAACAAAGCAAAATCTATGCTCATTTGTAGACTGGAATCATTAAGCAGTTAAATGGAAGGTTTCTGAGGTAGTATA